AATGCTTGCATTTTTCCTTATAGGGTGCCGATGCTATTGTGCGCTCCATCCGGGACTCGTTCACTTCTTAGGGACAAGTAAAGACATCCTGCCCTTCTTCAACCAGTCATCCTTTTGCTTCATCTTCTGCTTTTTCGGAGGAAAATATGAAGACTCTCAAGCAATCAATGTTTGAGTATGTTTTTTCATGGACATAGATATTGGCAAGCCTAGTGCTACCAGACAAAATGATAAATTTGAGCTCTTTAGTGCAAAATTGGTGCAAGCACTTACACTTCCGTCGCTCAATTTTTCATCTGACTTTATGGCGACGTTGAAGGTTATCCATTCTGAAATCATCTATTTTCTAGCCAAAAATGTCGAACTGAAGGCCAGAAGTACTCAGTATCTTCGTGCTACATCTGAAAGAGAGTCTTTACTTCAAGAGATTGATAAAGTCGATGCTGAATTGAACGAAATCTCCTCCGAAGTTATGATTGAAGATTCTTTGATGATAAGTTTGGCTCCAGAGATGAAGGAATTTTAAGCAAATATGGATGACTGCAGGGCTAGAATGGCTGCCAAAAATCGCAATACTTCCCAAGGAATTGAACGAACCAAGTTAAGTGTTACACAAAGCTGGAGGTTGATGACGATGTTGTAACCAAATTAACTGTCGCTTCTTCTAGGCAGAGCAAAGATTGGGTAAGGCTTAGGGAACAAATGTGTTCGGCTTGGGGGTGAATTGTAATTAAGACATTTGATACCTTTACTTTCTTTTGTAATTTCGTACTAGTAGCTGTTACTAGTTTTGAATGTAACGATAGCCAATGTTATTAATGAACGACTATTTTATTTATTTCCGTATTAATTGACGTTTTCTTCAATCGTCAACCCTCCAAGCATTTAATTATCTTATGCTAAACTCGTGTACAATTCCCTTCACGGAATGTTTACGTGGAGCAAAAATCTTGATATTCCAATCTTCTTTTCCAAGACTTTGGGCTATTTAACCTCTGTTACTAAGTGTGTATGTGGTCATTCATATTCTATCATTTCACCTTCACACATCTATAAATGCGTATGTATTCCGCACTTATCATCTTCATCTTCATTCTTTTCTTCTAAAAGCCAACTTACTTGCCATTTTTTGGCATCTCATATAGTTGATCAACCATTTCCCTCTTCGATAGAAATGGATCATTTGATCTATTGTCCATTTTGCTGTCTGCCTTGATATCACATTTGGTATGGGAGATATATGAAATGTTCTTTGGCCAATGAAGGTATTCTCAGCATCTCCATTTATTTCTCCAGAGGGAGTTCAATGATGGAAGACGATTTATGAATGTCTTTCAGGCCACTTAGCTTGTTGAGAGTGCTTCTCAGCCTACTTGCCTATCATTGCAGCAATGCAATTAGGAAGGCGGTCAAGACCAATTTTCCATTTTCTTTGTGATTGATAGAAGACTGATGATAACCTGCTCCCAATTGTAGCTTATAGAACATCTTATATTTTGTATCTTATAATTTGTAATGAGTATTTGATAATAAAAAAAATTTATTTGAACATACTTCGTTCTTGTTTTATTTAATCATGATCGCTCATTACTGTTATTTATTTATATCTTTATTTGTTTACTTTCCCATAAGGAATGAACATAATTTTTTAAATATTTGCAATTAATGAATCTCATGTACTTAGTACCGTCTAAATTTTCTAAATGATAGGCTCCATTAGGCAGTACAGTGTTCACTTTATATGGTCCTTCCCAATTGGACGACCACTTGCCATACTCTGGATCTTTGCTATTCAAAGGGAGTATTGTTTTTCAAATCAATTTGCCCAGGCTAAAAGATTTGGCTATAACTTTTTTGTTGTAAAATTTAGCCATCCTTTGTTTTTGAATTTGTAATCTATTTAGGACGTCCAATTCCAATAGGTTTTGGATTAATGACTCGGCATACTCACTGTCACTTAACTTATGTTGTAAACACACTATGATTGACTGCACGTTAATTTCCATAGGCAAAATAGCCTCTTGTCCATAAGTTGAAAATGAGTAACTTTGGTACTTGAACGAGCCAACATCCTATAAGCCCATAAGGCATTGTTTAAACATTCGTGCCAATTTTTGACATTTTCATTTATCATTTTCCTTATGATATTTTTTAGAATCTTATTAGAAGATTCTGCTTGTCCGTTAGATTGAGCGTAATACGGCGTGGAGTTTACTAACTTAACTCCAAACTTGCTCAAGAACTCCTTCATTTGATCTCCATTCAGGGAAATTCGATGATCCACCATCAAAGTTTGTGGAATCCCAAATCTATAAATAATACGATCACGGATAAAATTTATGACACTCTTCTGGGAAATCTCTCTTAAAAGTATCGCTTCTACCCAATTAGTGAAGAAATCTGTTGTAACTATTGCAAATGTATGTTGCTTGGACGATGGGGGATAAATCTTCCCTATCAGGTCTATCGCTCAATCCTTGACCGGCCAATGTTTGATAATGGGTGTAATCTCTTTTGCCGACGATCTTTGTATCGGATCATGCTTTCGGCATGCTACACAACTCTTCGCATATTGAACACATGATTCTCCCATCCTGGGCCAGAAATATCCACTCCTAATAATCAACAATCTCATCCTTTGGCCGACTTGATGAGCTCCACATATCCCTTCATGCACCTCAGCCATGATTGTTCTGACTTCTTACAAACTTACACATTTCAGTAATGTANTCAACAATTCTTAGGCGATTTCGTATTGACTTACAATGGAATCACTTCGACACTTAAAATCACCAATCAATTGGTGAATTACCAATTGAGAATCACCCATAATAATCACATTCTTTATTTCCATATCTATCATCAACTCTAAGCCCACAATTAATGCTTTGTATTCGGCTTAATTGTTAGTATACATTATATCCAAAGTGAACGCGAATTTGTAACAAGGAAAATGCTACTTGTACATTAGGGGGTACATAAGGGTGTCCATAATGGATACCCGACACCTCCCCATTGGATGAAGTGCCGACCCCACCTGCACTTCATCCAATGGGGAGGTGCCGGGTGTCTATTATGGACACCCTTATGTACACCCCGATATACTTGTAGCACCTCCCTTGTAACAAATCCCTAAAGGATTTATCAATGTCATCCCTACCCCTGCACTTTTAGAGGTTTTTGATCCATCAAAATATAAAATTCAATGTTTTAATTCGAATGAATCGATTTCTAATTCAATCTCCTCAGGCATGTCAAAGCATGGATGATCGGTCAGAAAGTTAGTCAAAGCCTGATTTTTGACTGCCTTTTGGGGTATGTATTGTATTTCGACTTCTGACAATACAAAAGTCCAAAGGCCTACCCTCTGGTGTAAAATAGGGCGAGAAAACATATACTTAACCAAATTTACTTTAGAAATTAAATAAACGGTTACAGGCCGTAAATAAACCCGTAGTTTTGTACATGTGAAATATAGAGCAAGATACAATTTTTCAAAAACAGAATAATTACATTCACATTTTGTTAACCGTCTACTCAAATAGTAAATCGTTATTTCTTCACTAAATTGGTCTTCTTGCGCGACCATTCCAGCTATCGATTCTTATTCAACTGATACATACACTTTCATTGGCCGCCATTGGATTGGTGACACCAACACTGGTGGACTCAATAAACATGTCTTTTGGCTTTCAAAAGCCTTTTGATGCTCTTCTTTCGAGATGAATTCATCTTGATTTTTCAACTTTAAAAGAGGTGAAAAAGCTTTCGTTCGCCCTGCACAATTAGAGATAAAAGCATCTTAAAAGGCTTACTTGGCATAGATTCCTTTGCAATTCTTTTTTGTTGTTAGGTGGTTTGGCCTTTAAAATGGCTTTCACTTTATTTTTATCGAGTTCAATTCCCCTTCTGTGCACTAGAAAATCAAGGAAGTTTCCCACATTAATACCAAAAGCACATTTCAAAGGATTCAATTTTAGTTTATATTGTCTCATTCGCTCAAATGAACGTCCTAGTTGCTCAAAATGGTCTTCATCTTTAATGGATTTGACCACTATATTATCTACATACACTTCAACAAACTTGCCTATCATATCATGAAAAATCATGTTCATCGCTCTTTGATAAGTTGCCCCCGCATTCTTTAGGCCGAAAGGCATAACTACCTATTTAAAACATTCTAAAGGTTCAGGGCATCTAAATGCAGTTTTGTGTATGTCTTTTTCAGATATGTAAATTTGATTGTATCATGAATACCCATCCATAAAGTAATATATTACGTGTCCGGCAGTCGAGTCTATTAAAGAGTCTACCGTAGGTATTGGATATTCTTCTTTGGGGCGTCGCTTAGTTCAAATTTCTAAAATCTATGCAAACCCTTAGTTTACCATTCTATTTTAATACTGACACGATATTAGACAACCATTCAATATACCTAGTTGTCCTAATAAAATCGGCTTTTATTAAACGCTCAATTTCTTTCTTTATTTCCGGAAGTATATTAGGAACAAAACGCCTAGGAGGCTGTTTATGAGGTTTAAAATTTGGCTTAGTTGGTAATCTATGCTCTAGCAAATTTTTATCTAAATCAGGCATATACTCATATTCCCAAGCAAAACAATCCTTATATTCTTTTTATAAAGCGATTAATTTATTACTAACCTCTTGATCGAGCATCTGGCTGACAAATGTTGGGCGATCTTCCCGTTCGTCGCCAATATTCACTTTAATCAGATGGTCTTGTGTTTGAACGTTTCTAGGCTTTATGATCCTCATTATTTCGTCGTCCATATTCCTTATAGGCACTTCCTCTTCTAAACAATGTACTTTGTGACTTCTCGGCCAATACTCTGTTCCAACTCGAACACTGCTGATTTGTTTCCCATTACTTTTAATGCTACTTCTTCTTTCGTCTTGTCTTTACATTCTTTATTGAAAGTCATTAACTTGGCTTTGAAGGCCTGAATGTCGGCCATTTGCCTTTATTACTGATAAATCATTTAAAGTTCTTTGATTAACTTTTTGTCATTCACTTGCTCTTCCAAGGCCACTATGTTTGGCCTCATTTGACTGAACATTTCAGTAAGTGCATCCACTGAAAATGACTCTTCACTCTGTGCAACAATTTGAGTTTTTTCTCCATCTTTGACTATCTTGATAGGTCTATAATTTCCTTCGTACATGAATCTTTCCACCGAGTTTGCTTCTGCAACAAAGGGTCTATGATCTGCTTGTACCACTTCTGCTTTGTCCTTGTCATTCCAAAATACTAGGCACTGGTGGAGAGATGAAGGTATGCAACAACTCCTATGGATCCAATCCCTTCCTAGTAGCACGTTGTAACTAGTAGAGACATCTATTACAAAGAAAACAATGGTCCTAGTAGTTTTCTCTACAGTTATGTCCAGTGGCATAACTCCTTTAGTCGAAATTGTTACTCTATTGAAACTTGTGAGAATGACTTCTATTGGAATCATATTACTTTCTGGCTTTGCAAACTTCCTCATCATTCTGGACGGGATGGTGTCTTAGGCTGCTCCGTTATCAATGAGTACTTTCGCCACATGTATACCATTGACTAAAGCTTTCACGTACAATGGCCTCAAGTGTTTAGTTAATTTCATAGCTGGTCTCTTGAAGATAACCTTTTCAGCAGCATCTATTTCCACTTCCTGTTTGTCCTCTATTGAATTGTTTCCTTATGATAACTCGACATGCAATATGTCACACTGAACTTCTGTTTCCTGAATTTCATTTCTACTGTTTTCTAGTGTTTCTTCTTCAGTTACCCATCCTGTAGGGGGAGGCAATATTTTTGGAGGCGACCCATATTTCTCAGAGTGAGGCACTCTCCTCTTTCGTTTGGGTGTTCCGTACAACACATAGTAATCAAAGGAACGCCCATATGGTTCTCCCAACAAGTCTACCTTGCGAACACCTTCTCGATGTAGTTGTTTCAACAATGTATTGCGCATACTCCCTTCTTTCTTCTCTATGCTTCCAGATCAATTTCTTCTTCAATGTCCGTCATACCATCATCATCTTTTCCGTCATATGCCCCTCTAGATGTTTGGCCTTCTTCACATTCCAGCACACATGTTTCCTCTTCTTTATCCTCCATTTTCTTTCTCTTTGTTTTTGAACTCATTGGCTAATAAATAGTTATTAGCCATGACAGGAGGTAACGTACCGAATTGAATAGTGAGGGACTATTCCTTGGCTTGCTGGTTCCTTATCATAATTCTTATGAGGCATAATGCTTCACTTTTTTGTATCTTACGTACCGAATTGAATAGTGAGGGGCTGTTCTGGACCTTCTTCATCCTTTTTGCCTCGCTCAAATTTGATCTCCTAGAAGAACTTTCTGAAAGTTCTTCCATTGATTCATCTGTACCAGTCTCTTTACTATCCTCGAGAACATTTTGATTAGCCACCTCGAGTAGTTTAGGAGCTTTAGGACGCGCTAATCCTTGTTGTTGCCTCATCATTCGTCCATAATTCTGTTGAAAACGCCTTTACTGGGTTCTAGTCATCTCATTAAAGGGTATCACCTGATAAGTACGTTTTTACATACTTATTTTACTGTTAAAACATGAGCAATTGTTGATTAATATATTGGAATATAACTTAATTCTATGTAATTTATGTTTTGTAGGACCAGTGATGAATGTTGTGGAAATAAGAGAAAAATGACCAAATTGAAGAAAGTGAAAGTTCAGGGACTATAGTGCAAATACTCAAAAATTGTGTCGGGGCTCACGATGAAGGTTCAAGAATGCTAAGAGTCGATTGGAAGCAATAGAAGTCAAAAAGGAATGAAATATGATCAAAATCAATTTCCAATTCGCACAAGATATATTTCAGATTTTTAGCCGAAAATTGAGACCCATTTTTGGCATAGTAAAAGTCCAAATTGAAAAAGATCTATTTCTAACAAAGTTGTATTTATTTGAGTTATCTTTTCAATGCATTTTGAATCTTCTAAATCTGATATCGTCATATAAAGTTATAACGAAATTATTGACTGCCGTGTAGAGACAAAAAATTTACGCACGAAGGCAACTTTCTTTATTCGATTAAAACTCTTTTGAAAACCAATTTGGACGTGATTTTCATCCAATTTTTGACTCCTACAAATACTTAACAACAGAATGCATACGGAGGAGGCCCCTATATACCATTCTTCTCCTCTTTGGCTCAAGAAACACATGAGGAACTAAAGATCTTGGTGAAGATACGAAGGAACTCGATTGAAATTGGTGATTTCATGTCTTTTATTCATTTAATTTGATCTTTTCATTAACAAATAATGTTAGAATTTAGATTTTCGTTCTCTTAAATTTATATTGTAATCGGCTTAATATTTANAAATCGGTTTAATATTTACAAGATTTTTCATGGATTCAGTCATATTTTTTCCATTATTCAATCAAACTATTTATTGAGTTTCAATTTCAATTATTTATTGTTGAGATTGGTTTAACAATTATTATATCTTTCATAGATCCAGTCATGCTTCTTCTATCGTTAGATTAAACTAGTTGTTAAATTTTAATCTCAATTTCACTTTATTGAAGGATTGATTATTGCCTTATGCTTGATTATATGGTCGATCTTTAATCTTGTTCCAATAAAATTGTGTGAATATGTTATAAGTCTAAATTCCAGAATTACATTTGTAAAGTAAATTAGTTTTCACGATATATCTTCCGATTAGAGTGTTGGAATGAAAGCCTCTAATTGTGTTACAAAAATGAATAATTGATATGATTGATCCAATCTAATTGAGGGAATTCTGATGCTTCACTGTTTCAAATTATTGATTTTAATTTCATCTTTTAACATTAAATTTTATTACACATTTGAGAGAACAATTCAGCATTTTTGATCCTTTAAATATTCTTCCATCTCCCTGTGGATACGACACCCCAAAGCTGTGCTATAACTACCACGTTATTTTTTGGGAGTAATCATCACCCTTCCTGCATTATACTGGAATGAATGCCATACATTTAGTTGGCGAGGTTGCCACCTAAATGTCCTCACATTATTCATTAGCCNTGGCGAGGTTGCGGCCTAAATGTTCTCCCATTATTTATTGACCTGAATTGCCTCTCAAAGGGCGGTCCTCTATAGAATGATGTACATCGCCCTCTAACAGGCCGAGTGTTTGGAACAAAATCGGGCGATGGTGATGCTGCCATATTCCTAGTTTCTCTGGGCTTGCACTCATTTCTCCTTTACATCTTGCACATAGGATATTTCCATCTTCTCTAGGCTATTTCCCTTTGATACATTCAAAAACACTGGGATGTGACCCAGAATCTTCTTCTTCGTCATCTATGACCAATTTGAATTTTGACAACTTATTTTTAAAACTAGTCGTCACCACCTAAGTGGCTGTGGGAAATGATTTTCATCCACTGTTATTTTCTTCTTATCGTCGAACGTGATTCGCCCTAATTCGATAGCATCCTGTAACACATGACAAAGACCAAGCAATTATTAGTCAAATGTAACCATGCATTATGTCACTTACAATATTTTTTACCCTTAATTTGTTTAAGGTTTGACAATTTATGCTTATCGCTCAATTTTATTTGTTTATCCTTATACAGTTTGTCAAATATAAGATCAGCTTTGATCACATCGAACGAGAAAGTCCTAGCCTGTTCGTTTTCATCTTTTATAGGCTCGTTCTTGCCCGACGCTCTAGGTCTGGCCATTATAGGACATGCATAAGCATCCCCTTTAATTAATTCAGCCAAACATACTTCAGTTTGATTGTAATATTCATCGTTAATAGTATGAACGTTAAATTTTGGGTCTTTATAATAAGTCCCTTTACTAGAGTTTTTCATTTGTTTTTCTTCTCTTATCAATGGTTCATACCTAATCACGTTCGCGCTGAGTTGGAAAAGGTCGGGAAATTCTCTATCTTGGAATTTCTTCTTCAAATCAAAGTTCAAGCAACTTTGAGCGATTTTGACAAATTCTTGATTGTTTCAAGAAACCTTCTGCCTATTCGTTTGGCATTTGACGTAAATTCGCCAAATCGGCCAAGGTGACTTCAGATTCAGTCTTATAAAACTGAGTATGGAACAATTATTCCAATTGTTGCCATGTTTGAACAGAGTTTGCTGGCAAATTAATGAATCAAGAGAAAGCTAATCTTCTTAATGAACTAGGGAATATCCTAATTTTATGATAGCCAGTCACTTCACCGTTTTGCAGTGTGAACCGCCCTATATGTTCTAGAGTAGACACTTCTCCTAAACTAGTTAATAATAAAAATTCTGGCACTTTGTACCCTCTAGGCCATGGATATGCTTAATCTACCCAATCCAGATATGGCTTTGTGTAAGTCAGCCTAATGACACGACGTACTCCAAAAGTCATTTGATCATGTACTATTTCTATGATTTGATTCCTCAATATGACGTTGAGATCATATGGAATTCCTACAGACTGGTTTACTGGCTGATTTGTTTGAGGCCTAATATTTGGTCATTGGTTGGCAACAAAATTGCTATTGTTTGGGCCATTATTACCGTTAGCCTGAGTATTTAATCCATCATTAATGCATGGGACATTCTGTCAATTATTCAGGACATGTCTCTTATATTTGGATTACCCCCCAGGTTTGTAATTTCATTACCACCATTCAAGTTTGAAGTTCCATTCCCCCCCTGATTTGAAGTAGACGGACCGAATGGTGGTTCTAATCTTTGATTTGGGTTCAAACCAGGAGAATTTCTGACAAATTTGGCCTATTAACTTGTTCATTATTTCATTTAATGTATTCAATTGTTTTGCCATATTGTCATAATGTGCATTCCCATTTTGGGTAAATCTTTCCATATTATGAACATTTTGTAGATTTACCTATTCAACGACATCCTGTAAGTTCCCTAAGCAATGCACACTTGGTTCGAGGACTCAACTCTGTCATTGGCTTTTAGCGACTTTGACTCTGTTCCTCTATTCGTGGAGAGTTTTGCTACTCCTCATATCGTTCGATCACATATTGGAGTACTCCTTTGCTTGTTGGTTCCTTATTAGAATTCTTATGAGGCATAATACTTCACTTTTTGTATCCTCAAACACCAATGGTCCCACTGAGCGTGCCAAATTGTTTCGCGGGGGTTATCGCTAACAATTAAAAAAGGTTCAGACGATTGTATAAGGAACAAATCTCTTGAGACGAAGTCTCGAAAATGGGTGCTTTATTGATGAAGATTACAATTGGAAAAAAACAGAATGTCTCCAAGAGGCGCAAGTACACAAGTTATTAAGAAATAAAATTACATATTCTCTGTTGAGAGTGTTTGATTCGAGGTCAAGCGGCCTAAGTACACAAGTTACTAAGAATATATATTTTAAAGTTAACTAAGAAATGAAATTACATATTCTCTGTTGAGAGTGTTTGATTCGAGGTCCTTTCTTCTACGTCTTCTTTACATTTTTATACTCATTTGATAATTTCTTTGTGAAAAAACTATCTGGAAATTGTTTGGCGCTCTATAACTACCCACTTTCTTCATGACGGCTGACTTATCATGGAACTGCCGTCTCTAACTGTTGCCACTACTTTTTTCGTTTAACTGCCTGCAACTAGGATTCTTGGATCGTGGGGTATGATAAGGTTGCTAAATAACCGCTTCAATAACTGTCGTATTGGATAACCATATACCTTATATTCACTCAAATCCTGGGCGACTCAAAGGTTTGGTTAAGAACGGGATCATCGCTCTAGGCGACAGTAAGGTACTCCATTTGCTTAGATCCTGGGCGTTTTGCAAACTTGGATGATGATGATACTTTGTTCGTGGACCTTCACTGCATTCCATAATGGTCCTATTTGGGCATTTGTCCTGGATTTCCTAATTGGGTTTCATTCCTTAGACTGTTCAATTTGGGCTACACTTTTTTTATGTCAACAACTTCCATAGATTAGCAAATGTGGGCCATGAGCTACCCAATCAACACATATCAAAGTTTGAGTTCGAATTTGAGAAGAAGAAGTTGACAGAAGATGATGTTAGAGAGTTGATTTATCGAGATGCAGTCTCCGAATATTTTTTCTTTTTTCGATAGCTGATTGTTTTCTTTTGCTAATACTACTATCTTTGTGTACATTTTTCATTTCATATTAATTCATTAATTAAGTCATTTACAAGTATTTATTCGTTTGCCTTTTCATTTGATTAACCCCTGACGTACTTAGTTGGAATCCTTTTTGCTTTATAAGGGAATAGTAATAGATTTGTTATTCACATCCAAACCTGTTTGGTGGCGCACTCAATCAAAATAGATTTGTACATTTATCATATCCCTTTCTCTTGCTTTTGATAATTCTTTTTCCTTCTGACTTGCTATTGCATATTTAGTTATAAATTCAATATACCTCATTCGATATGGATTTATATTTATACAATACAGTACAATATAATATAATAGTAAAAAAAATAAAAATGCAAACATCGAATAATAAACTCAAACAATCTGCTAGTTACTCAGAAAACCTAGAAACATTTAATTTCCACTTTTGCCTTATATGTTTTTGGTCATTTGCCAACGATGTCCTTAAGTCAATCTTCTTAATCTAACTTCGTTTCATCCTAATAGCATTATAATATATAAAATATCTTCATAATTACATTCTTTTAATTAATTTATTTATCAATCTACAAATTTCAAATTGAATGAAATTTTTCATTAACATAAAAAAGTAAGATGAAAAGACATACTTGAATGCTATGAATTCCACCAAAATTTTATTACATATAACTCTCCAATATCCTATTATTATTTAACATTTGAAACATATTGATTTGATTACTATTTTTAATTTTGAAACGTTTTTAATTACATGAGCTAAATGAATGGTGAGGGTTTTTAAATCCATAAATTCAATCCATTATTGCAATCTTTGAATCTTTTATTAATCATGTAGGAATTCACACCATACTTGAACATGAATTACGGGTTAAGAATTCTTACTTAAAAGAATGAATTCCAAAATCTTTGTGCGGTTGAATCACCTTACATTTCAAAACTTCAAAATTAGCATTTTCTTGTTCTCCAATAGTCTCAATTCCGATAACAATGGCAGAGGATTATTAGCCACAAATATTTAAGAGTCTTATTTTGTAAGTTTTTTGCCAAAATAATGATTTTAGGGCTTTTCCAAAATTGGTTTATTTTCATATACGAATTTCATCATATTTTGGCCATTTTTTCCTCTCTTGTTCTAGGCAATAACCTTGGAGGTTGTATTTGAGTTAATGGTGGTTATAGAGAGTTGTAGATTTGAATTTCAAGTTCGAACCACTCCTTCCAAGCCTTTTAATATTTTGTGGGTCGAGTCACCCGACATAGACGACCCACGTCCCATATTTTCTAACATCTCCCACTACACATGATGGACTTGTCCTGAACCACAAGTGACAACGAATATCACACCTTAAATCTTTCTCAAGATTTAGATCACAAAAATTCATACGACAAATAGATCGTGTGACCAGCGAATAATATTAGAGCTCATAGTATTATAAACCTATTAGGGATATATAGTAGTTTTTTAGAGGAACACTTCTCGCTATATCCCAAACTCATTTTCAAACATTAATTCAAGTATTTCTAATCCATCGAATATTTATGGAACATACTTGAATCTCACATAATATCATTATATTAACAATTGTGTCTTATACCCTAAATAGTTAAACACAATTGTTTGGCCGGTGAAGACAAATATGAATGTTGGTCAAAATAGTTTTTCTTTTCTACTTGAATCCTTCAACTTTAAATCAGCTTATTTCCTAAACACGTCCCATCAAATCGAATCAATTATAGTCGTTAGTAACATGCTAAATTAGAAACATTGAAATTAAATCTTAAAAATAGTCAAAAATCATAAGAGTATATATGAGGCTATATAAATCCCAAGGTCTCACACAATGAGGAAACATGGATCCATTCAATCATTTTACCCAATATTGGTCGTAAAAGCACACGTGGTATGAAAAACATGTTATGATATCTTCCACCCTTCTTAGGACGTATGTCATGTTCTTTATAAACAAATAATACCGTACAGATCCAGTTCAGGTATTCCCCGATACCTAACTTGAGTTCTCTTTATATTCATTCATGCACGCAATCTCAAATCGAGAACTCGATTGACTACTGAACAACTTTAGTGGATAACAAAATCCATTTCGATTAATTGTTGTAATCTTATCTTGATATTTCATCAAGATGATTGGATTATGTAGACAACATATCACTTTGTCTCATCTCAGCATGTGCCAAGTGTCTTGAGGCGATTATTCGAGTGAGTAAACCAATCTGAACATGTTTGAAATACTTTATATGTGCATACAAAATCTCGTAATTCTAAAGATAGATTACACATGAACTCAAAATTGTTCATTTATGGGCACACAAAACTTAATCAAGTGTTTTCTGATACACAAAGTATCATATTCTAAGTAATTCTAGAGATTTGATATTGCCAATAAGTATATCTCTAAACATTTTTAGACTATGATAATTACATATAATCAATGTTCTAAAATGCGTAATGCGTTGCGATGCGTCAGGTCGAGAATCAAGAATCACAAGTTTAGGCGTGTCAATGCAAAGAATAAGCGTCATAATGCGTTTCGTATTTTTAATATTATTTTAATTATTTTTAAGACATTAAATATATTTTTATATAAAAACAAATAGATTTTTTAGTATATCATAAAAAAAAGTCAATGCGAAGAATAAGCGTTATAATGCGTTTCGTATTTTTAATATTATTTTAATAATGTTTAAGATATTAAATATATTTTTATACAAAAAATTCGATTTTTTACTATATTATAAAAAAATGGGTTAATTTCACATTTTTCATTTTAATTGAAAGACCTTTTTCATTTTAATTGAAAATTAACTAACCAAAATAATTGAAACTTGAACTTTGAGGACTTACATCGCAAATTTGACATGAAACTTGATTCATGTTGAATACGAATCCCACAATTTTCTTGAATTTACAGTTCCGATCTTTCACTTCAATAAATGAGCTAGCTATCAATTTGGTGCAAATTAAAATTTGATGTGTAAGTCAAAAAGCTACATCATTTTAATCACCTCCAGGCTCCAAAGAAGAACAAATCATTTTAATCACTTCCAGAGAAGAACAACAAGTTCTCATTTCCAGGCTTCCAGGGCAATTACAGTAAAAAACTAAAAATTCAATTGCGTAAAAAAATTTCTCACACGATCAGATGTCTGCTGTCAGATCACATACTCAAATCCACTTCCTAAATTCAATAACCAGTCGCCTTTATCTTCTCAGGCAGTTCCTCCAATAGCCTATAAATTTCCTTAGATTGTGAATGTGATGTATCTCCTCTAAGAAACAAATGAGCTTTCCCATTTATCTCAATCCAACTGCAATCGAGATTTTTCTTTACGCCCTGTGATTTCAAAAGAGCCCTTAAATGATTCACTTCTTCACATATGCCAGCTTCAGTATACATTTTCTCCCTAGCAGAAGCATGAATCTTCCTCGCCCAATCAAGTGCAGCTGAACGTGCACATGCAGGCAAAACACTCATAACTGTCACCCAATTGGACTTCACCTCTGAGTCATCACTCAACATTTCATCAAACAATCTCAATGCCTCGCTTGCCAACCCATCCTGTATGTACCCTGAAATCATACTAATCCATGACACAATATTCTTCTTAGGCATATTCTCAAACAACTCTTTAGCCAAATCAATAACCCCATCTCTTATATACCCTGAAATCAATGTGTTCCAAGATGACACGTCTCTAAAAGGCATTACATCAAACAATTTATGCGCCTCGCCTAATTCACCACATTTCACATACATATCAATCAATGAAGTCCCTACATATATATCAAACTCCAACCCATCTTTTAAATTCAATCCATGAATGCATTTCCCAAACTGAACATAATACAGGTCAGTCTTCCCCAGCAGCAGAGAAAGGACTACACTATGTGATACTCTCTGAGCTGTTAAAATGGCAAGCATCATTACAGTTGAGAACCGGAAGAAAACCTAAGAAGGTGTAGCAGCCTGTGCAAACCCGGACAAAAAATTGCAAGAAATAAGGCTGATAAGGCAAAGAAGAGAAGGACAGTAATATGATCAATTTCATTTGCACCGCCAAGGGTAACTGGGTAAGGACGAATTCATGAAAATCAAGTGTCGGCATGAACTAATAGAGAGTAGAAATCCCCAATTCTGGTGGTTGAACTTCAACCATGACAACTGAATTTTTCAATTGCCATCTTTTTCCCTACGGATCCTCAGCATCAATTGCCATAGAAGAGAAAGAGATAGTGGGGTCTCCACTAAGCCAAAGCATTTGTCCCACATCGGAAACCTGTAAATGAAACACAAGAAATTATGGTTATAAATAAATGGGCCAACTACTTCCTCATTAGCTTCCTGAGCCTGTTTCTTAATGGGTTGGAAGCTGAAAGTTTAAAAATAATAATATAAAAAATTTGGAAGTTCAATAATAATATAAAAAATTTGTGCGCCTTTGCGCGTATTATCGCATCTGGGAGCGCATTATCGCGCCTACCCGCGCACTGTGCCGTCTAGGCGGTCAACAAAAAAGTTTGACCTCATTTTTACGCGCATAGCATAAATTCGACGCGTTTTCAACACGCATTGTGCCTAGGCGGCGTATTTTTGCGCATTTTAGAACACTACATATAATTATTTACATAGAATTGTCGCAAAGACAATTTATTTGCTTAATGTCTCTCACAGAAATACCATCTTGTGTTTAGTTCAATTGTGATACTTGAGATTCTCAACACATAAGATAATTGCATAATTATCATGTATGTCATATGCTCCACTAGTATCATTAGATGCCCAATACATGTATACCAAATTATTTTTTTCAACTGTCAAGATATATACTATAAGATATGCTTCTCGATACTCTATATAGTAAGAGTGTACAAGTCTATGACTATTTGTGCTCGACTAACTCTCATCTTTAGTCAGCATTTACATATCTATTCCAATAATAAGATATTCTCTCAATAACAAAATAGAATAACTGATAGCAGCACCTTTCAAGTATCACAATACCCTTTCTAAGGATAACATCAATACATACTAACTAGATTCATGGTATGACAAATTTGAGGACAAATATACATCATAGCATACTTCTAATTCCTAATCATACTAGATATGATTATTTGGATATTTCTTTGTGCACTTATGCTTAGCTAATATAATGTCATCAATATCAAAATTAAAATTACAACCTACCATCAAACTTTTACATAAAAACAATAAATTTCATCCACATGATCAAATTTTGTATGAGATTTAAACCTCGTTAAAACTCAGTAGCAGTGTCAAGATGATTGCATTAGGTCACAAGTGTAACTATAAAGTTATAAAAGTATTCAACATGAAACCTACAAATCGATTCATGTAGATCTCTTCAACTCATTCTCATCTGAGAATAAAAATACAATCTCTAAGTCTATTTGATATAATCTAAACTTAATCACACTAATACGGCTAGCATAGGCGTACAGAAGCAAATCTCACTACTAAGAAAAAATTATCTAACTCATTTTTCAAAAAGAATGAACTTTATCTATCATAAACTCATTAGTCTTCCACTTACTTTTTAAGAACTTGAATGTTCTCAATAAATATAATGTCCAATTAGAATTTCCACCACATCTCAAATTAGGTTGAAATTTTGTATTCTATATATATAGACTTTCATTACTTTTCTCAATATTCCTCTTTATACTCATACTAGTAAGGGATTGAATTATTGAAAATAGATTACTCCCATTTGAATCAGAAGCTTAAAACAACTCATTTGTAGTCAAAACTGATTCATCAATACATATAATATTAATTTTAAAAAAATTCTCCAAAAATTTCTCCCTTGCTAGAAAAAAAATGTCATATCACATTTTGTAACTCGATATTTACCCAAAATTTCACTTATGAACAAGTACATTTGGACAGTCTCATGTATCTGGTAGATATACACCTCATTTTTAATAGATTTATGCTCTCAAACTTATTATCAAGAACTTATATAATCGATTATGAATCTCAAATAACCCATATTTGGTTATTTACGTATCCAAGCTTATATATTTTGAATGTACTAACATTGAGAGAATTTCATTAAATGACATGTTGCAATTAACCAATACTTTTCCCAAAAGAAAATACTTAAATTGGACTAAATTATCTTAAGTCTCAACACATTCAGTAATATTACGTTCTTTCTTCCTAATAGACCATATAATTATTGATAATCAAGGAATAGTCAATCTAATAAGAATTTCTCTTTCATTACCTAGATCATTGATCTCTCGTAATAGAGATTCACACTCTTAAACAGTTCTCAAATTCTTCACTTCTATAATATGATTTTATACCCCCTTTCAATAAAATCCTAATCAATACAATATCTTAACTTATGAAAATCAGAGGGACAACTGAAATGTGTGAATCCATTTATAAATGTAATGAAAATATAAAATTCCATTTCTATCCTTCAAAGAAATTCGGATGGATTTATTCTATCAAAGTTTAGCTCTTACAACTTTAAATGATTTTCTCAACTCAAAATCTCAAATTGTTACACAAATATCCAGAACCATAATAAATATCACAATTATGAGTACCAACATATTTATCACGTATAAGTTCAAATTAGAGATCACTCTTAGAAGAACAAGTGAGATTAAGTTTAGTGGAATTTCTTTACTATCTTAATATCAAATAGGAAGCAAATTTCTCCAATTTACAATAGTAAGTTGTATGTACCAGTCATATAAACCTCAACTCCATGTTCATTATTTGTATATATTTATTTTGTATCAAGTCAAAGATTCAACAATAGACTAAAGACACTTATTGATCTCATATAAAATTCCAAATATGTAGTGTTTACATTTAAACAACACTAAGATGAATATATTCAAATGCAATTTCATTTAACTTAACTACTTTCGAGCTAAGAGATTCAAATCGTATAGTTGAAGCACTTGAATCTTTATAATATTAATTATCTACCAAAACCACTTTCATGCACTTACTATCTGATATATTCTTTTTGGTCCCTTTTTCAATCTCGTCATCTATTTTGCATTGATTCTTGCTTGTTCACTACTTAAGATTCGAAGTCTTATTCAAACTAGAATATTGCTACACAAACACGTTCTCTAGACTTAGCAATATCAAGTTGCACGTCTTTTAACTCATACTTTGGGTAGTGTCAATATAAAAAATTTACACTTCAACTTGTAAGTTACATTGACCTTCAAATCTCCCATCTATTTATAAAAGACTAGTTTGAACTTGCTACTCACAAAAAAAAAATTGACCAACAAAAAATGTTAACACTATGTTAACCATCTTAACTCAGTCACATTTGAGAAAAAGATAATCTATAATATAATTTAACAATTCAAATGCTCAACTACTAGAATCTATCTTTTTTCGTACTTGACAAGGTTTTTAATCTTTATCCTTTATAGTAGTGTGACCCACATCATGTCTTCGATTATGAGGTTGATACTCTTTAAAACATCACGACCTTCTATTACACTCAAAATCTTATTATGCCAAATGTTATCGCATTTAGCTTATCACCTTCATTAATGTCAATAACTATAGATTTTGATGTCATGATCTATCATATTTTAGAGACATTTTTATTATCAATCAATGCCCCATATATGCACATATATAATTTTGCATTAAAGCAAATTAACGTATACAATAGTTCAACGTTAGGCACAGAGTTGAAAGTTCACTATGTTCTCAATCTTCATCTGCAAATATATTATTTCACTATTAAAAATTTAACTTCATAACACAAAATTCCATGGGTTCTAAGCGAGAATTACATTAATTCTTCCACCTTGAGAATTCCTACTTAGTTGGTGAATCAAGTAATTTTAGGTGAGATTCTCTCTAAATCTTTCAATTACCAAACCACCACTCAACTAACAATCAATAAGGGTGTGTTTGATTGCGAATATGAAATTTGCATGGAAAGAAAAAATATTCTAAGCAATTCAATTGCTTAGAAGTTATTTGTCTAGAAATTACTAATTAAATGTATTTTGATTTATTTAGTTTTAAACCTGAAAAATATTATATTTGTCCATTTTTATTGGTGGGTAGATGAGAGAGAGTGGATAGATAAGAGAGAGAAAGTGAAAGTGAATTCCTTGAAAAATAAAATCTTACTCCCCCTAAAGAATATATTTTCTTTGATTTAGAGGAAAATATAGTAACGTGATCAAAAGTAGAAAAATATTTTCCTTGAAAAAAAAGTTAATCAAACAGTACAAAAGTAGGAATTTCGATGGAAAAACACATTTTCTATGGAAAATATTGGCAATCAAACGTATTTTAATTCTAAGCAAGAACCTCACTAATTTACTAGCCTTTGCATTCATAACCATTAACGAATTAACAGGTATTCTGTAATTCAATAAGGTAATTCCATACTATACAATAAAAGTATAATTATACAAGTTTGTCCAATTATGTCATATATCGTCATATCACAAATTTATTATTCCAGAAAATAATTTCGATTATAATCGAAGAATAAAACTTACTTCATTAGTTTTATTATACAGATTGCCAACCACACTTTAATATACGTTGCAACATAATCCCAACAAATGGGAAGTTACATC